AAGTAGGCACATATTCCATCCGGTCCAATAGATAGAGATGGTTTTAGATTGCGTAGTGATTTTTCAACATTGTCTTCTGTGAAATCGATATGTATTAGATCATTGTTGTTATCTGTGGTACGGCTAGGAAATATTGGGCATGATCCATTGCTGTTTACAAATACTGAGCCGAAGAATGTGTTAAAGATGTTGGATTTAATGGTGTCGTTGTTGCAGTCTTTACCATCAGGTCCTATCAAGGGAGGGATGGACCTTGAGTCTTTTAGTTTGTTGTTTACAAAATTGTAAAAAGCACGGGTGGAATTGGTGCTTGGAAGGTTTTCCTCTTGTTTAATGTGATAATTGGTGCATTCGGTCTTTATCTGGTGGCATAAATTTTTGTATCGGTTTTTGAAATTGGCAACGTGACCAGATTTGTTTTTCCACCAGAGTGATCTCTTTTTGGATTGAAGTTTCCTTATTGATATGAGTAATCTGCTTTTTTGTTTTGTTTTGGGAGTTGTTGTTGGAACATATAGTTTGATGACTCTTTTGACTTCAAGTAAAAATATGTTGTAATGGTCTTCAACAGTATTGCATCCAGTGAATAGAGATTGCCAATCAAGGGATGAGAGATCGTTGTCTATAAGATCATAGTTGCCTTTTTTGAAGTTACAATTGGGGATTACATCATTGTGGTGATTTTTGTGTGGATGTATGTTGAGACAAAAGTCAATCATATTGTGGTCACTACTGGAAAAGGGTTCTTTAGTTTGTATTCCGTAAATTAAATTCAAACTATTGCAGAAGATGAGATCAAGGCAGTTGTTTAGTCTAGTGTTGTTGGTTACTAGTTGTTCCAGTCCCAGATTTGTAATAGCATTATAGAAGGTTGTGTGTATGATTTCAGTTGTACAGTCATTTAGGGTCCAGTCAATATGAGGTAGATTGAAATCACCAAGAAGGATAAAAGGGTATGGGCAGGATGCAGCCCATGTTAGTAATGTATTTAGCTTGTTTACATGTTCGATGTCATAATCAGGTGCTCTGTAACATAGTAAGAATCGAATTGTGATATTTAAGGATAGTTCACAGATGATGGTTTCAGGAAGGGCAAGCTCCTGGGTAACTTGGATATTTTTTAGATGTAAGGATTTTTTATAGAATATAGCAACACCACCTCCTCGACGATTTTCACGATCTGATCGGTAAACATGATAGTCTCTTACTGTGGTAATGGAGTCAGGGAGAGATGCATTGAGCCATGTTTCACAGACAAATATAATGTCGAAGTTAGCCATATTTTGGAGGATGAGAAATTCAGGTATTTTATTCACGAGGCTTCTTGCATTGAGTAGTTTGCATTTGAGGCCGGCAGTAGTTGGAATTGAGGTAGTTGGGGGCGTGCGTGCCTAGTCTTGTGTGATGGTGGATCGGTTGAGGTAGGGTTGTGGTTGAGGGTAAAAGCTGAGTATTGGGTTGCGTGGCTTACTTTTGATACAGTCAGCATGGTAGTCAATGTACAGGTCCTTCTCTCCCAGAATAGTGTTTTAGATCTGGCTGTTTTAATCCTTTGCCCTCTGTGTGAATCTAGAGCCACTCCAATTGCAATATAACTAATATTTCCATGATCATAAGCTGCCCTTTTAAATTCATGGAGGATTCAGAGTAGATTTAGCCCACAGACTCACACACATACAAACCTGTGGAATTTTAGAAATGTCCATCATATTTGTTATCTGGATGGCAATGTCAGTATTGGACCCATCAAAAACAAGTAAGGGTCTCGTATGCCTTCCGCATCTGTAGTTTGGAATATTTGATTCTCCGGTGGAAAGCAGATCTAACAAAGCATCCAAAGTCATGGTTGTGCTGAAATAACTGTCATGGAGGTTGTAGCCCAGGGAGATGTTGGGAAACAGCTGGAGATCCTGGTTGATCTCCTGGATGGCAAAAAGGAAGGAGAGAATTTTCCAGGGAAACATGGATAGTTTGCTGAAAATATATGCATTTCACACCATCATTAATAAAAATAATCTCATTTTTATATCTCCTAAAATACATAGAGGGTTTTAGATACTCCAAAACTAAGAAGAACAATCCGCTAACATGTCAAACTTCATGTCTGCAAAAAGAGTAGTATACACAATACAATAGAATATATTGTATATTGTGATGTAGGATTTCCTGCCTAAGCAGGGGGTTGGACTAGAAGACCTCCAAAGTCCCTTCCAACTCTGTTATTCTATTCTATAATAATACAAAAGCAAGAAATAATCAACCATATAGTTTAACTTCTCACCACCATCATTTACCCAACAGCCTGTATAAAATAGCTTTCTGAGCAATATCTATGCAATCAAGTGAAGTAGTGAAAAGCACAATAAAAATTAAATGTATTTGTACATAGCTCAAAAACAATCATAAAACAGGAGGAAAATCATTGTAATAGAGCTCTTTAAAATCAGAAGAGGAACTATATAATTTTGGATGTTCAGCCCTAGAATGTCCCTTGCCTGATCCTGCAGAAACACCTAGAAGCTGGATATATTTTCTGATGAATAGGAGGGAGAGGAAGTAGAGTCAGGGGCATCCAAGAATCATAGTCCTGAAGGATGTGATTCCAGGAGGGTTGAAGTCAGATACTTCCATTTAGGTGAAAGGGATCCAGCAAGCCCCAAAGACTTCTTGCCTGCACCCACTGATTGCTTCTTACACCTTGAACTTCACCCATTTCATCCAAAGCAAAGACAGGCTTTCGAGATCCAACAGTGAAGAACTGAGCTCCATGGACCAGACAGAGTGGCCAAAGGAACCCCAGCAAAGGAGCCGACTCAAATGTATAACACGTCTCAACTGTGGATTGAGGTAGAGGCTTAGTTTGGTTAGTTCTTGGCTTCTCTCCCTGGGCAAAACCAAAGAGAACAGCTTCTACAGGGGAATTATTGAGTCTGTCATCTGCACCTCTATAACTGTCTGGTTTGGTTCTGCAACCCAACAGGACAGACACAGACTTCAGAGGATAATTAGGACTGCAGGAAAAAACAATTATTACCAACCTGCCTTCCATCGAGGACCTGTATACTGCACGAGTCAAAAAGAGGGCTGTGAAAATATTTACAGACCCCTCACATCCTGGACATAAACTGTTTCAACTCCTTATACTCAAAATGACGCTATAGAGCACTGCACACCAAAACAACTAGACACACAGACATTTTTTTCCCAAACTCCATCACTCTGCTAAACAAATAATTCCCTCAACACTGTCCAACTATTTACTAAGTCTGCACTACTATCACTATTAATCTTTTCATCATTCCTTATCATCCATCTCCTCCCACTTGTGACTGTATGACTGTAACCTTGTTGCTTGTATCCTAACGATTTTTTTTAATGGAACAAAATGTGTCATCTTTATTAATTCTCTTACAGAACATCTCCCAAAGTCTCCCTTAATGTTTTTAACCCTTTGATTTCATGTAGAGATTATATATAATTCTGGGGCAGGGTTCCCCAAACTTGGCAACTTTAAGTCATGAACTTCAACTCCCAGAACTCTCCAGCCAGCTGGCTGGAGAAATCTGGGAGTTGAAGTCCACAAGTCCCAAAGTCACCAAGTTTGGAGACTTCTGTTCTGGAACATCATGCTTGTCTATGCTTTTCCTTCTCTTTTTTTTTAGTTTTAAAATAAAGTTTATTTAAGTTTCATATATTTAAAACATTTAAAAAGAAACAAACAAATATATAAACAAATATATAGAAATATAAGAAAACAAATATATATACATAGATACATTTTGCAGCAGGTGTTGAGCATTGGTTACATTTTTCTTTTCTTTTTTTTCTTTTACCCCATAACATTGACGTGAACTACCTTGTTACAATACCTTCCTCGTTCTTTTAATGTTTTAATTTCACAGAATACTTTAAAATTAAACGCACGTCCTTCATAATTTCATACCTTATTCAGTTATCAAATGTTACTTTTTCTTTAACCATTCATACCAACAGTTCCAAACTTTGTAGTATTCACTATCGTTTTTTAGTAATTTGGTTAGGCTGTCCATCTCTGCACACTCGTGAATTTTTTTTAATGACCATCTCCTCTGAAGGGACAATAGACAGTTTCCAATTTTGAGCATAACTTATTCTGGCTGCTGTTATAATGTGCAAGATTAAATATTGATATTTTTTTTCTATTTTTGAGTCTATCATACCCAGCAAGAAGGTTTTGGGTTCAAATTTTATTTCTTGTTTAGTTATATTTAGAATCCAATTTTTGATATTTTTCCAAAACTTCTGTGCATATGGACATGTCCACCTCATCTGGGAGTATGTTCCTTGGGCGCAGTTACACTTCCAGCAGTTTGGGGGGAGGTTCGGGAACATCTTAGCCAGTCTCGCGGGTGGCAAGTGCCAATGATACACCATTTTATAGAGATTCTCTTTGTACGAGGCTGACATAATTAGTTTGTAGTTTATTTCCCAAATATGTTCCCACTTGTCTAATTCAATACTGTGGCCCACATTTTTTGCCCAAATTATCATACATTCTTTAACTGTTTCTTCTTTTAATTTATAAACCAATAGATATTTATATATTTTACTAATCAGCTTCCTTTCCTCTCCATGGCAAATTCTATCTAATTCTTGGTTGGTCATGTTAAAACCAAATTGTTCTTTATCTTTTTTGAAATGAGATTGTATCTGCGCATAGGGCCACCATGCTATCTCTTTTCCTTGAATTTGTATTTGATTCCTACCCTTTAACTCTCCGGTTTGATGTAACAGATCTTTATATCTTACAATATTATCAAAATCTAAAACCCTATCACTATTAATCTTCTCATCACTCCTTATCACCCATCTCCTCCTACTTGTGACTGTATGACTGTAACCTTGTTGCTTGTATCCTAATGATTTTTATCGACTGTTTCCTAGTATGATTTGATTGCTTATTGTACCCTATGACTATTATTATTGTACCTTATGATTCTTGACTCTTGATGAATGTATCTTTTCTTTTATGTACACTGAGAGCATTTGCACCAAGACAAATTCCTTGTGTGTCCAAACACACTTGGCCAATAAAGAATTCTATTGTATTGTACTGTACTGTACTGTACTGTACTGTACTGTATTGTATTGTATTGTATTGTATTGTATTGTATTGTATTCTATTCTATTCTATTCTATTCTATTCTATTCTATTCTATTCTA